AGTCCACATAAAGACAGAAGGAGAGATCGGTGTGATAGCCACAAGCACAGGAAACTGGAGGATGCAAGATCCATCCTCTGAGCATGAAAAGAGAGCACAGCTCTGCCCACTCTTTGATTCTGTACACAGTAAGTTTCAGATTCTGGGCTTCTGGCCTTTGGGAGGTGCGGTTTTGATCCACGAGCATTTAGCGATTTTTTGTAGGGATTTGATCATGTGGGAGAATCTGAGGTGATCCCGTTTGCAAATGATGTTGATAGTAGGAAATGACTGTTAGGAAAGCTTCCCTTGAAAGGCAAAGAGTGTGGCCTCCTGGTGGGTTGTGGATGTGGAGAGAAGGTGGCCCAAGACAGATCGTAGAGAGTGAGGAAGTGGCCCAAATCAAAGGAACTAAGCAGTAGAAGAGGGGGTAGCAGGGCACAGGTGACCTCAGTACCATCAAGAGAAGGTGGCTCAGGATAGGAGGGACACTCAAAGATGTAGGTAGATACTTGGGAGCCATGAGCCATTCCAGTCCTGAAAGATCCTGGCCGAGGTCATAGGGAGGGATGTTTGGGGCTGCAGTTACCATCAACAGCCCAGTGCCCACATAAAGGAGTGTGGGCTGGACGGAGACACCCATTCCTGCACCTTGGAACCACTGTCCTGACTTTTCACTGTGTCCCTGCAGAGCATATCACCTGTCAGAGGTGATTATAAGAATCATAAATGGAGCAGGGATTGATTTTCCATCTAGACACCCAAGTGATCTGGACACCCAAGTCTCGTCCCAGAAGGTCATATTTCCCTCCAGAGTCCTCTGAGAATGGGACTCCAGAGGTGCCACAGAAAGGACAGGGCCATGGCCTAGGTGGCCACTGTCAGCATTGTTCTACTTTTCTCCTTGCCCAGTCCCTGCTTCTCAATCCACCCCTGCTGGCCTCAGGTTAGCCCTGCTCTTCCTCTCCCTTATCACAAGGAGTGACAATACTCACATATTTTGCCTCTGGAAATCAGACTAAGGGTCATAATAGATTCCTGAGATGCAGGAATCACCAGGGAGTCTTTTCCTGCCTTTGGGCAGATTAGCCATGGCTGGGCCCAGGTCTGCCTGTGGGAATTCACATCGTCACTTGCAGGCTGGCTCCAGAGCAGCCAAAATTTTCCTTGCTCCTGGCTACAGAAAACCCAAGTTTATATTGAACCCACCTATGACTGCTTCTAAGCAGACCCAGAGTGAGAATCTAGGGGTCCAGCTCTGATTTCTCCCAACAGGGGCTTCCTTCAAAGCTTCTTTAGGGCTTGTTTGGTGCTCATTAGAGGAATCTGCAGCTCCTTGTAGGATAACATGGGGGCTGCTGGAGGTTTTCCTGTAGGACTAGCTCAGGGTCGATGGTGGAAACCATTAGAGGGGTTCAAGGGAGGTGGGAAAGTGCGTGGCACACCAATGCATGTGCCAGATATGCAATAGGAACCATTCTAAGTGCCATAGCTCTGGGCAGGGCAAGCCTTTAAGTCCCCTCTCTAGCCAGGGTTCATGTGAAGGGAGTGGGTGGGGAGTAGAGCCTCCAGGGTGCAGTCTGCCTTGAAACATCAGTTGGCCTTAATCTCACCAGGATGAAAACACCATTGTACTCACCCAGTCCCCCTAGTTCTAAGTCCCACACTTGGTGTGTGGGGCTGACCTTCTCCCCACATTCTTGCTGAACCCTGAAAGGGAGACACAGAACTTTTCCCCCTTAAATCCAGCTTTCAGGAGGAGTCCTGGTGTAAGTCAGCATGCTGTCATACCCCAGCAAGTCCCTTGATACTCTACTTCCCACTCTGGTTGGCAAGGATGAGCCACAGCTTGGGTCTGGCTCTGCCTGTCATGGCCATGACTTTCTTAGGACCCCATGAGGCCTGGAGTACAAATCTCTCACCAGGCCTCATCCTCTTCTCAGTCCCCCTACCACAGGGCTGGACCAGAATGGAAGGCAGGAGGAAGCCAGATGAAACAGGATAATGAGATGTCACCAAGTGTCAGCAAAAGCAAAGACCAACACAGAGGTGAGGGCAGAGAGCTGGCGATGAGGCTAGAAAGTCAGAGACAGGCCTGCTTCCGTGCAGAGGGAATGGGCCCTGCACATATCTCTGCCCCACCCCCACCACCTCGGCCCACCTCCCAACCAATCGAGAACTGCTCTGCTGGTCTGGAAGGCCACACACGGATGGCACCCAGACATGAAGTGTCCTACCCAACGTTGTCTCTGAGTTCTTTTCAATCTATTTTTTGTCTGATTTTTTTTTGTCTGTATTGAACCCAGGACCATCACACTGAGCTATATCCTCAATCTTTGGAGGTGGGGGTAGGGTTTTGCTAAATTCTCCAAGCTGAGCTCAGAATTGCAATCCTGCCTCAGCCTTCCAGAGGCTGATAGCCATATGTAACCTTACCGGCTGATAATACTTCTCAGGATAAGAGTCATGTAGGTAGAGTCCCTAGGAAAGCAGAGGGAGAGTTGAGTAGCAGGCCCTCAAGGACACACCTTTGCTCAATTTCATTTCCTGCCTTTTCGTCTGCCAACCCAGGTAGGCAGGGTTCAGGAAAGGCTGTCTTGTGTGGGAAGCTGAGGCTGCTCCCTACCCATTGGCTCAGACCCCTCTCTACAGCCCCTTCCATTATGTTCTACCACCCCAGAGCCCAGGCTGAGGCCCCAGCTGCAGATGGAGAGAGTCAGAGAGGATCCTTCTAGTCCCATATAAAGCCAGCAAATCATCAGACTCTCCTCAGGTCATGCATCCACGACTGTCACTTCCTTCATGAGTGAGACATTTCCAGAGGACATGACACAAAAGCCTATGCTCCATCTCCAGATCCCAAGTATACTGGAGAGGCTGCCTATGAGCAAATGGCCTCAGTCTGGGACATGTCTGGAAGCAACCATCTCAAGAACAGTCCCAGGCTTGTGCCACTGGGCTCCAGGACCCACATATGTGACCAGAGACAGAGGGTTGGTTTAAATGGCCTCTCAAGGACAAGGCCAAATCCTGACACCCTGTGGCCCAAAATAACTGATGTACTCAGCAGCAAAGTACAGGCCACCTCTCCCAGGGCAGCTACCTGCGTGGCCTGCAGCGGCCCCACACTGGGACTCTGTGGTGAGCTTTGACAGCAGCCTCAATGCTCAGCTTTGTCAAGCAGCCACATCATGTACACAGTTGGTGTACATGGCTCCTGACTGTGGTCTGAGCCCAAGTCAGATCATTCACAGTCACCTGTAAAGGGAGGCAAGAGGGAGAAAGCATCTCACCCTGCTCCAGAGTTACCCAGGGGCTCCTGTGATGGCCATAATCTGGGCTCAGCAAGAGCAAGCAGACACCCTGTCCTTCCTTGCCCAGTATGTCCACTGTCTGCCGCCCCACCATTTTCTGACCTTTATAAAAACCAAAGAGAAGCCCAGGGCCCACAGTAGTGGAGCACTCTTTTCTTTCTTTTCATTTTTGGTTTTGTGAAACAGTGTCTTGCTGTGTAGGTCACACAGGTCTTGAACTCACCACATAGCCCAAGCTGTTCTAGAACACGTGATGCTCATCCTACCTCACCCTCCTAGGTGCTGGAATTGCAAATATGTGTCACTACACCCAGCACATGCATTGCTTTTTGCAAGTACGGGCAAGGGCCTGCCACACACGTACACACACCCTGGGCTCAAGGGCTCACCTGACAGCTTGTCTGGACCCAAGCTGTGAGCCACATCAGGGTAATGCAGGTGAAAGGAAGAGGCACAGCAAGCACACAGAAGGAGCCCTTATTTCTACCAGACTATGAGATCTGGGAGTGCCTATCCTGTCCCTTGTCACCTTCCCCTGTCTCTACATTGCATTCTGACCAGGAAGGGAAAGTGGTAGATATCTTGCTACCTGTGTCTAAAGAAGTTTCTGGCAATTGGCTCAACCCTTCCTGTACTTATCAAGTCATATAGGACCTCCAAATGACATAGGGGAAATAATATGACTCCCAACCTGCTAGATGTCAAATACACCAAGTTCGTGTTCCCCAAGTCAAAGAATTCTAAGTAACAATGGAGGTCAAGAGTAGGAAATATTTATTGCCAGAGATAGCCCCTGAGAGATAGGAGGGGATATGAGTGGGTTGCCAATGAGCCCACTTTCCAGAGGAAGTTTTGCAAAGCAAAATCATGAGGTGGATACAATGCAAGACACGGCTATGATCAACCAATAGGATTAAAAGAATAGCACTTAGGAATATTGAACCAATGGGGAAGCAAGTCGTGTGGCAATTGTGCATGAAAAGAACAAGAGCCCTTTTTTTTTTTCCTCATTGAGTTCATCGGTACTTTTTAATATACAGTACAGTTACATTCATCATTGGGATCTTGTACCTTTACATGACAGATTTTGGTTCTCATTTTTCCCCATTCCCCTGCCCTCCCTTCAGCCTCTTAACCCTCCCCTATTTACAAAGACTTTGTTTCCATTTTTTCCTTTTCTTATATTTTTTCTTTTCCCTTATTTCCTTTCCCTACCCTTCCAACTTTCCCTACACATTTGGCCCTTTTCTTCCTATTTCACATTGTCAATTATACAATTTGGATCTTCTTTACACTTTTAGTTTTTCACACCAGAGAAACTATTTGGTATTTACATGTGTATCTTATGTATTTCACTTGAGAGTATGGCTTCAAGAGCCTTTTTTGAAAGAAATGTGTCAGGAGGTCCTGGTCATCCGCCCAAGTGACTGATGCCTATCTAGACCTTATTGGACCAGATAATACCGATTATATTATATTGTTTATCCCTCGGGGAGGTATGTAGGCCTAGTCATTCCATTTTTATCTTAGGTCTGACCTTCAATGAATGCACAGTGTCGAACTGCCTATAATATTTCTACCTAACTTAGCTGTCTATGATAAAAGGATGGATCGGCCCATTATAGGAGGGGCTGCAACCAGGTGTCTCATACATAGTTCCCTGGGTTATTGACTTCAACCATCCTCTTACACTCCAACACCACCCAGTGCTACAGCTGTCCTGAAGCCATGGCCCTGTGTCTCCTATGGCTGGGCCTCACCATGCTGGGGGCCCTACAGAGCTCTGCAAGGACTGCCAACAACTCCTCTCTGAACTTGATCCTGAACCCATCTCTGAGCATGGTCCCTCTGCATCCAGACTTCCAGGATGACAAGGTAAGGGCGCTGGAAGAGCAGATACAAAGAGGACCCAGGGGATAGTGGGAGTGAAGGGGAAGAGAGGCAAAGAGATTCATGGGCAGTGTTGGGTGAGAAGTGAGGGACTCAGGGAGACCAGGGTCACTGCATGCCAGGGGAAGGGGACATCTTCAGTACCTTTGCACAGAAGAGAAAACCGAGGTAGAACCAGCCACTTTCCCAGGACTATCTCATCCATAACAACCAGTGTAACTCTTCATCCAGGGTCCTTCTTGGTTCTGGAAGTTTCCTACCTCCCATCAGCTGCACAGGGAAGTCACATATCCCAGAACTTGCAGCCCAGAGGGCTGCCTAAAGGAGCCTATAGGGACAGCATGGGAGGGGTGGCTCTGGGACCATCCCTAGGCTCTACCTATCATCAGCCCTTTGCAGTTCCAGGGGAAGTGGTACGCCATAGGTGTGGCAGAAAGCATATTTCAGAATGGAACAGAAAGCCAGTTGGAAATGTACAGCACCACCTTCGAGCTGAATGATGATCACAGCTACAATGTCACCTCCATAATGCCCAAGTAAGCCACCATCTCCTGGGGGTCTGAGAGGCTGACAGATGTCACAGTGCTACTGGGATCTGGGGTTCTGGGGTCTCCTTTTAGAGATGATGTCTAGGTCCTTTCTATCTGAGACAAAGAATTGAAGGAGACAAGCATAAACAGTGGCAAAGTTTCACATTTATTAAAAGTAGGGGGAAAAAGAAGGGTAGGGGGAATATAGGCTCTGCAGAGCTAGTTTTAGCCTAGTAAAAAGGGAGGAAAAATTAAAATACACTTAACATCTTAGAATGGGCTCTGATGAAGAGACATGACAGTGAGGACCTAATAGCGACTTCCCTTTTTTATATTTCCCACACTGACATCACTCCCAGGTCATCCTTTTAAAAACCTGCTCCAAAATGATGGAAGATACTTGTTTCTTGACCTTAAATGGCTGTCGTGTAAAGTGGTGGTTAGATAAATTTATGCCCAGATAGTGTTTATCCCAGATAGACCTTTTAAAAGTATAGCCTGAGCAATGAAATTGCCACTGAGGAAACTGTAACCACCTGGCTTGGAAAGGTATACCAGAAGTCCTAGACCAGAAGCTGTGGCCTGCCAGAGCACTGAAGTTCAGACTATTTTACTCTGCTGGTGTAGTAGATAGGCATGAGTTTATGCACTCCTGCATTTGTAAAATCAATCCTCCTAATGTAATATATTAGTTTACTTATAAAGGTACTTGGGCAAAATTTTAAAGTTGCTACAATGTTGATGAAAACTATAACAGGGTGAAAAAATCAACTTGTAGAACCAAAGGAAATAAAAATTGAGGGTAGTGTTTCAAATTGTCTTCTGAAAAGGAGTTTCTTGAATGCATTAATTTGGATAAAAATGAAGGTCAGTTCTCAAGATCTGTGCTAGTGGTAAAATGGATGAATGCAAAAAACACTTTGTAATTTCATGTGGAATTATTAAAATTAGGTTTACTGAGTTATTGACCTAGTATGGATGCTAATATATATTGGTTAGACTACATCGATTTCACATTTTAAAGATGATTCATACACTTAAGGATTTTGTTTCAACTTGGAGCCTAGATTAGTTTGCCAAATAAATGTATTATTTTTGTAATGCAATAAAATATAAATCAGAAGAGTAAAAAAAAAAAAAAAAAAAACCCTGCTCCCTCTTACAGGCTGATCTTGTGAAAACACTCCCTCATCATCTGAAAAGGTCAAAAATCAGTGGAGTAAGTTTCCCATTTTTGGTCCAAAATAATGAAGAAGTCCACACAGAAGGGCTCTGAGAATGTTCTGCTCATGGGCCCCAGGATCTCACCACACCTCCTTTCCTAGCTAGTTTTAGTCACACCCTATCTTTCTGCCTCAACAGCGAAGGGGTGAGCAAAACTGATGGATACTGTCACTACTCTACATAAAATCAATCTTCCTCACTCTCTTCATCTCTCGTTTATTCTTCTATTTATCTCCCTTTCTTTATCCCCTCCCTCCTTTACTTTCTCTTGTTTTCTCCCTTTTATCAAAATTCATGGATAGCTGCAATACAGACACAAATAGTCAGTAGAAACAAGACAGATAGTAAGGTGTCCCAGAGTGGAGAAGGGACCCTAGACCCAGCCTGGGATTGCACTGAAAGCCTCTATCTAGAACTTGTAGGGAAGTGACCTTAAAGAAATCACCCTGCCTATAATCCTACCAAGCTAAGCTCCAGAGGCTGAGGCAGGAAGTTTGGAATTTGTCTCACAGTAAAAAATAAAAACAGGGCTGGTGATTTAGTTCAGTGTGATGGTCCTGGGTTCAATTCTTATTACTACCGCCAACACCAATAAGTAAATAAGGTTCAGCAGTGACAGCTGGGTCTGGTGAACTCTAAATCACAGAGCCTCACATTAGGAGGTAGCAAAGCAGGCAGGCATCAGGGTGGCCACCTGGGCAGGGGCTGAGAAGCAGCCAAGAGGGGAGCTTTCCAAGGCCAGTCTTGGAGCATATCACCCTGAGCCAGGGCCTGTCCTGCGGCTCCTGCAAGTGAAAAATATGAGTTCAGCTGCAGTAGAAAAGGTGGGAAGAACCACGAAGGTGAGGCTGGGCAGTCATAGATGGGAGAGGACAGAGGCTGGGCCAATAAGGTCTCCAAAGAGGGAGCCTGGGCTCATCCACCTGCAGTACAGGCAGGGCATTCTGACACTGGCCACTGGGTAGGTTGAAGTTGAAGCATTTGAAAATTAAGGGAAATAGGAGAGCAGGTTTTGGAGGTTGACTCTGGGATGCAAGGATGGTGTGACCTCGGGTGAGAGAGAAGGTGTAGCCCAAGGACTGGGGAAGTACTTGGCATGGAGCAAACTGGATAGGCTGCCCCAGGGAGAAGACACTGAGTGTTGGAGGGAGGGTCAAACGACCCACACAGCAGACCAGGCAGAGTATCAGAACAGAAGACCCAGGATCATGGAGCAAGTGGGGTGAGGGAACAAAGTAGGGGACAGACTATCAAGGACTGCACTGGACAAAGGCCTGGAAATCCTGATCCTTCCCTGCCACACTGAAGGGAAATTTGAGGGGAGGTTGAGGGGAATCAAGTCTGTGAACTCTTCACCCTCACAGCTCCGTCTCTCACTCCCACAGGGAAGATACTTGTGATCTCTGGATCAGAATATTATCCCCAAGTGTCCATCCTGGCCAGTTCACCCTGAGCAATATGCAAGGTGTGTCCTGGGGTGGGGATGTCCTGGGGTTGGAATTTGGGGTCAGAGACTTCTTGAAGGGCACAAGGGGGCTACACTACCCTTCACAGATGACATCCACAGGGAGAAGTTTTTTCTGACTGGAGAGGAGGGGGACGTGTCCCTTGCTTCTTGGCTAGGAAAAAAATGATTCTGTGCTGTCCACTCTACAGATTACCCTGAGATACAGAACTACACTGTGAGAGTGGTAGCCACCAACTACAAGCAGTTCGCTATAGTGTTTCTGAAGATGACTCTCCCAAACAGTGTGTACATCGAGATCACCCTCTACGGTGGGTCAGTCCTGCATCCCCTTAGGAACTGGGACCCTGGTCACACTTGGGGGAGGGGACTCACAAATTCTTTTCCACTTTGAGCCCCTCTCAGGGAAGAAGTCTTGTCCAATCCCCTCTGTGGGAAAGGGTCTGCGGCCTTGTTCACTCCTTTGGCCGTATTTATGGATTAAGCCAGGGATGCTGGCTCACCCGTCATTACATTCACTCTGGAGGCCAGGGCAGGGATCACAACTGTGAAGCCAGCTGATCTGCATACCAAGGTCTTTATTCAAAAAAACCCTGTAAAGAATTACAGGATTCTTTCTCTTGGTCACTTACCCCCATCTTGGCCACAGGGAGAACCAAGGAGCTGAGCCTTAAACTGAAGAAACGCTTTGTCAAGTTTTCCAAGTCTGTGGGCCTCACTGAGGACAATATCATCTTCACTGACCCCATAGGTAATGGCTTGCTGGGGAGACACACACACACACACACACACACACACACACACACACACACACACACATACTCTGATGTCCTTTCTCCCCCACAGAGAAGTGCATCGATGAGTGAACCAACAGTGAGTATGGCTGGCTGGGGGTGGGGGACTCGTGGAAGGCCAGGATGGGGAGGCTGGGTGACTTAGCTGTCTTCGCTCCTCTGAGCCCATCCTGAACACAGCTTACTGTTCTGCTTTCCCCTCTCAGGTGTCACCACTCTGTCCACCGCATTCTTCCACTCACTTCTGCTCACAATGACAACTGGATGCCCCACCAAACACAATGGCAATGAGAGAGACAGGAGATCCTTCCTACAGTTCAGGGCTGTAGCAAAAGCCACCCTGCTGATGGAGCCCCAACGATCTGCTAAATAAACTCATGTGCCCTGGCCTTCAAGTCTGCGCTCCTTGTCCTCTGGGCCACAAGAAGGGGGAAGGGCTAATGGTGGGCTCCCATGAGCATTGCTCTCAGGGGCTGTTGTCCCCAGAATACATGCTGATGATAGAGTGTGCAGGCAAAGAAGATGCAAGCCTCCTCCACCACCGCTCTCCCTATGTTTGCCTTGAATCTGGCCTGGATAGAATAATGTGCTATTCACTCCTGCTTTGATGAGCACTCCTAGTCCCAGGCTTGGACCCACTTACAGAACAGCCCAGGAGAGTCCCCATCCCACAGCAGTACTGACAGGGCCACACCTCACTGCTGCATTCAACTCCCACAGCAGCAGCCCCATCCTGCTGGGGAGCAGAGGGGGCTGGAGAGAGTGTAAGGGCAGCCACCCCACCCCCAGCTCACCAGGACCCTGTGGATGCTGGGAAATGGTGAGTGCCCGAGACAGGAGGGGGAATGGTTAGTCGGGCAGCAGCAGAGGCCTACTCAAGGAAAAGGATGGACGGGGATCTGCCCCCTGTGGACCTCTGTTCGCCCCCTACAGACCTAGTGCCCGCATTGTTTGTCCACTGGGTGGACACTGTGTCAATGCTGACCTATAAAGATGCTGCCTCCAATGTGATGACATCCAGACTACATGAGGGTTCATTCCGAAGCCAGGCCAGGCCCAGGCGAGGTGGAGAATATGCTGTTTTGCCTTCCACCTTCTGGTCTGGCATTCCATCTGCTGTTTCCATGTTAGCCTGCATTGGCTTTGACATACGGTTGCCCAATTTATTTTTTTAATCATTAAGTTTATTGATATTTTTAGCTATACAGTACAGTTACATTCATCATTGGGATCTTGTGCATTTACATGATCCTTCTTTACATGATTCTTAATTTTCCCCACACCCCTGCCCTCCCTTTACCCCTCCAACCCTTCCCTATTTACAAAGACTTTGTTTCCTTTTTTCCTTTTCTCTTGTTTTCTATTTTCCCTTCTTTCCTTTCCCCTACCCTTCCCACTTCCCCTACTCCTTTAGCTCCTTTCTTCCTATTTCACATTATCAATTATGCAATTTGAACCTTACTAACACTTTTAGTTTTTCACACCAGAGAAACTGTTCAGAATTTACACATGTGTCCTATTTAATTCACTTAGAGTATGGCCTTATTATATTCATTTAACTATAAATGACTGTAGTTTCTCATTCTTTGTGGCTGTGTAGTACTCCATTTATAGAAAAATCACATCTTCCTTATTCAGTTAATGGGTAATTGGGCTCTTTCCAAGTTTTAGCTATTACAAACTGTGCCACTAAAAACATGAGTGCACATGTATTGCTCTGGTATGATTCTTTTAATTCTTTGGGAAGATACCCCACAGAGGGATATCTAGGTCAAATAAAACTTCTAATCCTAGTTGTTTGAGGTGTCTCCATATTGATTTCCATAGTGGTTGCACCAGTCTGCACTCCCACCAACAATGGAGAAGGGTTCCTTTCTCCCCAGAATCCTGCTAGCATTTGTTATTGATTGATTTCTTGAAAGCAGCCATTCTTTCTGGGGTGAGGTGAAATCTCAGTGTTGTTTTCATCTGCATCTTTTGAATGACAAGTGATGTGGAACATTTTTTCATATATTTATTTGCTGCTTTTATTTGTTTGTCTGAGAAAAGTCTGTTCATTTCAGATGCCCATTCTTGAATCAGATCTTTATATTTGGGGGGTCTGATTTTTTTGAGTTCTTTATATATTCTTTTTTTTTTTTTTTTTTTTTTTTTGTAGAGCTAAATCCCCAGCATTATATATTCTAGATAGTAGACCTTTATCTAAAGAACAGCTGGTAAAATTTTTTCCCACATTGTAGGTTGTCTCTTAGCTCTGTTGGTGGTGTCTCTTGCAGTGCAGAAGCTTTTTAATAAGATGAGATCCCAGTTGTTGATTTTTTGTGCTAGTTCCCATGCTACTGAGGATTTGTTCATGAAGTCTTTTCCTATGCAAATGTCTTTGAGAGTTCTGCCTAATTTATCTTCCAGAAAGCTTAGTGTTTCTGTTTTAATGTTTAGATGTAATCCACTTGGATTTTAGTTTAGTGCATGGTGAAAGATAAGGGTCTAGTTTTAATCTTTGCAGGTTGAAATCCAGTTTTTCCAACACAAGGCCATCTTTCCTCCACTGAGGATGGTTGGCTCCTTGGTCAAAAATAAGGATGCTGAGTATGTCTGGAGTTGTTTCTATATCTTCTAATTTGTTCCATGGATCCTCAGCTCTTTTTCTTTGCCAGTACCATGCTATTTTTGTCACAGATGCTTTGTAGTATAGTTTCAACTTGGGGATTGTGATACCCCCCTGCCATGTCTCTTGCCTAGAATAGCTTTTGCTATTCTAGGTTTCTTCTGGTTCCAAATGAATTTTTGTATTGTTTTCTCTAGTTCTATGAAATATACTGCTGGGATTTCAATCGGGATTGCATTAAATCTATATAGCAATTTTGGAAGTATGGCCATTTTCACTGTTTTTGTTGGGTTTTTTTTTTCTCTCTCTCTTTGAGTTTATTGGTACATTTTAGGGATACAGCACAGTTACATTCATCATTGGGATCTTGTACCTTTACATGACAGATCTTGTTCTCATTTTTTCCCTTTGTCCCTGCCCTCTCTTCACTCCTTCCTCCCCTCCCCATTTACAAAAACTTTATTTCCATTTTTGCATTTTCTCATATTTTTTCCTTGCCCTTATTACCTTTCCCCTACCCTTCCACTTTCCCTACACCTTTAGCCCTTTTCTTCCTCTTTCACATTGTCCATTATCTCATTAGGATCTTAGGTACTATTATAGTTTATTCATACCAGAGAAACTATTCGGTATTTACACATGTGTGACTTAATTATTTCACTTAGGAGTATATCCTCAATATGTATCCATTTTCCTATGAACGAATCTAATTTATCATTCTTTATGGCTGAATAGTATTCCATTGTATAGAAAAACAACATCTTTTTTATCCAGTCTCCAACTGATGGGCAAATGGGCTGTTTCCAAGTTTTAGCTATTACAAACTGTGCTGCTATACATTTTCACTATGTTGAGTCTTCCTACCCATAAGCAAAGGATGTCTTTTCATCTTCTTATATCCTCTTTGCTCTCTTTTTTCAGAATGTTGTAGTTTTCAGTGTAGAGGTCTTTTGCTTCCTTCAATAGATTGATTCCTAGATATCTCTCTCTCTCTCTCTCTCTCTCTCTCTCTCTCTCTCTCTCTCTCTCTCATGCTATTGTGAAAGGAGTTATTTCTGCAGTTCCCTTTTCCATGGTTCTGATAATTGTGTGCAAGAAAGCTATCGATTTTTGCATATTGAACTTGTATCCAGCTACTCTGCTGAATCTGTCAATTAAGTCCAGAAGTCTTTTTGCCCAATTTCTCTTGAAGCTGCCCCTTTGGCAATGGATCCCACAATGTTGGGCCCCAATGGGGACCTAGGCATGCCAGGAGAGGTAGTCACAGAAGACTTTGCAGAAGAAGGTGACCCAGTGGCCCACTGAAAATACCTTTGCTTTTCTAGGGATGCCCTCGTAGGATGGGGAGTCTGGGCAGGGATGAGCATTGGGTGCTCAGGGTAAGGGCATTGAGCCTGTCAGCTTTAGCCTCAGCCCATGGTCAGTTCTGAAAATAACAGCCTCATTCATGAGAAAAACAACTGTACCTTAACCCACTGCCATCCTGCAGATCCCCAATCAACGAACAAAGTTCACTGCTCTACTGCACTCAGACAAAATTACCTCCTGCTGACCTCACCTTAGGCTGCTCCCAGAACTCGACTCCCTTCCCACCTTTCTACTTGTTTTGCCTCAGTAAATCCCTTCTTCCCTTCCATATTTGCATGGCTCCATTAAAACCCTGCATAACAAACTAAATTCAGGCCTTTTTCTGAGATATCTCTGAAAAGTCCCACCAGGAAAAAAAAAAACCCACTTGGCTGTGTTTCTGGACTTTCATCATCATTTTACCCTAACATTTGGTACCCAGAATATAATGGTTTTCAGGATTCCTCACCCCCCATAAGCAGCTCCTCCATCTTGCCCTCTTTTTTTCTGGGCATCCTGAAACCAGAGTGCCTCACCAACCAATAGGCTTGTAGCCTGATTGGAATAATAAGAGAAACGGATCAATGCTGCTGTTACTGCTACTTTCTTCCTGCCATGGACTGTTTCTGCTCTGTGATGCCCCTCTGTCTTGCTGCCCCACCTTTGAAATAGCTGACTATGGACTGAAAGCTCTACAAACTGTGAACTGAAGTAAACCCTTCCTCCTTTAACTTATGGTTGTCAGGTATTGTGTCTCAGTAATGCAAAAAGTAACTAAAGACAATCAGTTGTGGAAGTTGACAGCCAGCCTTCTCCTCCCTTTATGCCCCACAGAACATCATATACTCTCTCGTTCATTCCTGGTGGTTTCCCAAAGTCTTGTCCTCTTCCTCCTTCTCAAACTCAGGGAGGGCAATGGTCATCATCTTCCAAAATCCTCCCTCCCCTTCCACACACTCTAACCTTTTCCTTCTACTCCCTCCCCTGTTGGCTTGTCTTCACTCCTGCACCCATTCTCCCAATGCTCCCTAAATTTAAGGACGCAAATTCCTCTTCCAATGTGACTCTGCTTTATGCCTCAAGCTCAAAGATCCCTGCACTCATCCCAAGGTATCCCAATAGTCGTCTTTGTTGGGGACCAGCCATGATATGTTTCAATTGGTGGGGGCAAAACTACAGGCCTTGTAGTCATGAGGCAGACATTGACTTGCTTCAGAAATAGGGAAGACTTTGCAGAAGGCTGCAGGCTTCCTGGCTGAGTGGGATGCAAACCCTTAACCCCAGCACTCTTGAAGCAAGATAACATCTACTGAGGACAGCACAGAGAAAACAAGTACCCAGATACGGGGAAGGATCTTAACTTGTTTCTTTTGTGGTGCTAAATTTGTTCCTCATTCTACTACCTTGTTCTTATTTCTGT